CACAACACGTGCATGTACATATGAAAAATGGGGGGGTGGTAGTCAATGCTTGTAGGAGACACAACGTGAAATCCTCCATATGCCATTTCCAGGAGAAAAGTAAAGCAAGGAAAAGCCACATTATAGTAATAGAGGAGCTCTTATGCTAAAGGCAACTGAAAATTTTGCTGTTCTTCTAGAAAACATGTCACAGTTTAAACATTAAAAGACCACAAGAGGACACTATGGTGCCACTTACCTTCAAAATTTATTTACTTCAAGGAACTTCTGCTTAACTTACAAAATTGCTTAGAACTGTATTTGATACATGGAATAGCCATTTATATAAAGATACTTTAATTTCATCTTTGGAAACTGGAAAGTTGCTTAGTCTTTTAGATACCTTTTTTTTCCTACTCAGTGAGGTTCTGCAAATTCAAATAAGAACTGTATCAAAGTTTCCTACAACAATCTTTTTTAAACACTGCAGTAATTTTCTGTGTAGAATTAAGATGCTGGGAAAAGTACTACTTAGTGTTTTGTTGTCGTTTTATCTTCTTTTAAAGGGTCCATTTTCAGATCAGTTACATTTTTAGCACGGATAGGCTTGTCATGGTCTATCAGACATTTTGTCATTAATTTTTAATAAAGGGCTCAGAGAAAAAAACTGAGCACAGGCCTAGACAAGATTCTTTAGATGTTGATTTTAACTACAGGACACTCAGAGAAATTAATACAAATGGATTTTTCAAACTGTACTAAGCTTTTCTTTCAAATGTTTGTATTACAGACTAAAAGGACCTTCTTTTGAATTGCCTGACAAAAACTGTATTAGCTTCAGTTTTAATCTCAGATATTTTGATCTTTGTTTCTCAGCAACAACCATCAGGGGGACATTGAATTTTTGCTTCCTGAGCTCTGTACTTTCCTTTCATTGCAGAGTTGGAGAAAGAAGTGCTTTATGACAACATATAGACCAGGTGCTGACAATGGGCTTCACAGGAAAATACCTGATATAAAGAGGAAAGAATCATCCTAATGTAGTTTACAAAACCATCTGGGGAGAAGCAACAGAAACAGAGCAAAATTAAGTGCCCTCTCACCTGAGTTCTGATTGTTGAGGCCAGAGCCTTGATCAGAAGCAGCAACATTTCTCTGGTTTAAGCTAAATGCAGATCTTTGTTTATCTTGCTTTTTCTTCCTCTCCATTATTTGTTGACTCATGAGGGAAGCAACTGACCAAGTAAAAGAGGGGTCAGTGGTTGTTTTTGCTTTGGGGAAAAAAAAAAAAAAAAAAAAAAAAAAAAAAAAAAAGAACCTTATGGGTTGTAGGAATTTCTCAAAAAGTGCAAAAAGTGCAGACACTGTGGAAAGAATTGACACCTTTGCAATCTGAGTGCCAGGAAACAAAACAGGCTACAAGCAGCTCATCTGATAATACTGGACTGAGAGGTTCTGTCTCAGTCACCAAAGATCCTGGACATTTGTGAAATACAGAAATGGAACGAAACTGCTTCCCGTTACCAAAAATTTTGTTTTTCCTCTATTTTCTTCCCATTTCCTGATGACATTATGAATAAACATGAAGGTTAGTAAAAATCTCTGGTTTCAGAACTTTAAAAAAATAAAATTATAGGAGAACCAAAACAATCATTCCCATCTGAGGTTCTTCTACATAGGTATGAAGTTTGTAGGTAAGGTAGCAAGACCAAAAAAAAAAAAAAAAAAAAAAAAAAAAAAAAAAAAAAAAAAAAAAAAAAAAAAAAAAAAAAAAAAAAAAAAAAAAAAAAAAAAAAGAAAGAAAGAAAAACAATTCTTGAAACACTGAATCAAGCCTTCCAGAACAGTTCAAGAAGGGTTATCCAGCATCACAGCCTGTTCTGACAATAGTTCAGCAGATTCACTAACATGCTGCTCTGGCTCTGAAAATTCAATCCAACAGATCTTGAGTAAATTAAAGTCACTGTTAGTGGGAAGACTCTTTGGTTATTCTTTTTTTTTTTTGGTAGTTTCAACTTGTTATATTTTCAGAATCTGAAACAATCTGATCATTTCCATATGTATAAATCCAGGGAAGAACAGAGCTGCTGCTTTCAATAGCAAATGGAAGAAATCCAAGTTGTTGCAGTCTCACTTTGCTTTTTCCCTCCTCCCCTCCTCTAACACTGAGCACAGTTAACCCAATCACTGACATGATCAGCAGGAAACTCATTCCTTGACAGAGGAAAACAGGTTGCAGCTAGACCGGTTCCCTGAACCGGCCTACTGTATAGTTGCACAAACACCACTGCTGTCTCAGGGGACAGGGAGACAACATGCAGCCAAGAAACAGAGCAGGAGTGCCACATAGCAGCCAGAGCTGACACTGGCATAAACTGCTGTGGCACTCCAGAGGGGAGGGGGATGTAATGATTACCGGCTTTTCAAAGTTGGTTCTGTGGAGCAGAAGCCTACTGAACTTTATGTGCAAAGTTAATAAACTTGCATTTATATAAGTGGTTAGACTTAATGCACAATGTATGCTGAACTTGAAACACAGAAATATACTGGTATATATTTTGAGCAGCTCAATGACATGCAAGAAGGAATGTTGATGGTAATAAGCAGGGGCACCTTTTGGTAGTCTATATGCAATGTAAAACATGCAGGAGTCCTTCCATGGCCCAAACAAGTCACCTGCTGGGTAGAAATTGGACACAGAAATTGAACTACACAAATTTTACATAACAGGTTATTCATAACATGAATAGACTTTGGAGGCTTGGTTTCTAGCATCACCACTTGCCCAGATGAGACAACTGGGAACTGAAATAATTTATTTTTTCTGGATGCTACAGTCCATTAGTCTGAAAAAGGATAGTACTCAGTCCTGGTGTCAATCTTTTAGAATCAAATCAAGAGTCTGCATCAATATTATGCCTGTAATTTTTGGCTGTTCATATCACACATGTTAAAGCATGAACCTTCAATTGTTTAAGATGCCTTGAACTTTGGGTATTATTTAGAAAATCAGCCCAAAGTACCTCATAGTACATAGATTTTAAGATTTACAGAAATAGGCATAAATATTTTCAGAATTTCTGTTAGCACAACTTGTTATTTAGAAGAGGTAAATCACGACTTGCATTGTTTCATTTGGCAGTCAGCAAAGCTTATGACAAAGTTTGTATCTCAGTTATAACTTCACTGATACCACCACCCATAATAGAATCTGCCAGCTGAGCCAGCATGCATTCAAATTCCCAGTGCAAATGGCTGTTATTAATTGGTGCAGAGAAAAGGCATTCAATTGCAGGGTGAATCATCCTCCCCTTTGCGAGGCAGAAAGCAGTCATTTAATGCTGTACCTGTCACAAGTGCACTGTTGTGACTACTACTACAGGTTGCTATCAGTAGGACTGGAGTCACTACACTCAGAGTGAAGAGTAACTCTAGTTTTTCCGAGAGCAGTCACAGCAGCATCTTACATGATTTTACTTTTGAAATTAAATTCATCTGAGATGCCTTTCTACCATGTTTCAAGCTGTGTGGGTTTGATCGTTTAAGGAAAATCAACTAGCTGCATCTATTAGATAAGCTAAATAATGTGCATAATCAGTACACAAGTTCCCATTTCTTGGTGATTTTGCCCTCTGATATTGTTTCACACAAGCCGCTAATTTGAAGCATTCTGAATTAACATTGTAATTGGTAATGGAAAAGGGACTTCCAGATTGTCACGCATCTGTGAGAAGTGCTGTGAGGCAGACAGTATCAACTTGGTTCAGGCAACCTGGCTAGTTCCCCATAAGCTTTGTTTTCCATGGCTTAAGTGGCTTGACCATGGGAATTGCTGCAGGTAACACACCATGAACTCACTGCAGTGACTGAGTCAGCCATGTTCCCTGTCCATAGGCACTTGCTTGGACAGATTCAGCAGTATCTCAGTTTAGATGAGGCTGACTGCCTACATCCAGGATGCTCTAGGGTTAAACCTCCCTGACTTTCTCCTACCTTCGCTCTGAAGACTAGAGTCCTCATGATACTCTGGCTTTCTTTCTGCAGCAGAGTTGCATGGTTCTTTTAGGGCATGGACTTCTGAACATCTACAGTGCTTTGTGATATTACACCAGTATCCATACAGAATTTTAAACAATATTTTATTTAAGTGTCACATCTGTTTTGTCACAAGGTTAAAAATTACTCATTGCACAAAGCAGTCAAACAAATAAGTGCAATACATTATAGATAAGACAAGTCATATAAAAGTATTACCTGTATCTTTAAAAAAAAGCAATATATATATTTTTAATCCATGCTGTAGCATGAGAAAAAAAAGAGTAAAAATTAGCAGGCAGTAAAGTGACAACATAATATAAAGAAAACAACTGAAAGGAATAAGGAAGCATCTTACATTTCAAGTATTGAATGAAGCAACTATCAGAGTACTAGTTCTATGGAAAGGGATCATGGATGGCAGTTTTCCAATTGTTTATGAACCTATTAGAAGAAATACTCATGGGAAGTAAACATTCCCTATTTAATTCATAATTTACCAGTAAAGCAAGTTCTGATGCCAGTCAAGCAATGGTCTGATTTTAACCTGCTAGAATAAAAATGAAGTAATAAAACCTGTTACTGATAAGGATAATTGTTTAAATGTGAAAAAGATTTCTGCAACCCTCTGACTAGCCAGAATTCCTTCTTTGTCCTGGTTTGTTCTTGTTCCCATCTTCATGAACATGCAGCAAACAGCAGTTCCCAAATTATAGAAAACTATCAACAACATTGCCTGTTCACCTGTATTTGAATGCAGATCTACTTTCACCCTTCATGAACTCTTCAGTTGCCCACTGTCCCAGTCAGGGTTCAAAAGAGTTCAGTACTGCAGGATGGATCTCTAACCTAGTGGTAGGCATGAAACCCAAATCAAAATAGCCTAGTCTTCCATCTCGTCATCTTAAAAAAAACCAAAACCCCAAGCAAACAAACAAACAAAAAAGCTCTTTTCTCCATGTATGGTGGTCCTCTGAGTGAGCTATACGATTTAAGAAAAAGTAATATCTGAAAACATCTTGGCATATCTGTCTTAATCATAATCTCTAATTCCTGTGTGGAACTGCTGATTCTGTACTCCAGTATTTATAGCAAGTGCCACAATACAGGTGCCAAAACTATGTATTGTGTATTACAGAATTCATTAGATCTGAATAAATTCTATTAACAATGTTGGTCCTGGTCTAGCCAAGATGATACAGTATCACTTCAAATTATAAATGCTTTTGATACATCTTTTAAAATTTACATTAATTTTCAAGTTTGCAGGTGACTTTGTAGAAATTATATTGAAAATTTAGTATAAAGCTATACTTACATATTAAGAAAATACAAAAAGATAACGAGCTGCATTGCAAATTACTCCATAAATCTCTCTCTAGACTTCATAGACCTTATGATTCATAATACAGCATTAAACACGATACAAGTGTCAGACTAAAGGGTTGTGCCACAGAAGGAAATACAAAGGACCTGGCTGGCTCAATCCGAGGATTATGTAGGTCGAGGCGACAGGAATTTTGTACTTCTTGTAGAGTTTCACTTTCACCTACGTCCATTACTCCACTAATGTTCTGCACCTACAAGAATTCAAAAGGTTGCCCCTGAAAGTCAGACTGGCACAACACCAGAAGCTTTAAGCAGCTAGCAAATTCAATGCTATTTCAAGTTACCCAACTCAAACTGTATTGCAAAACCACTTCTGAATGTGAAGAAATCAACATCATTACCCTGTTGTTTGCATTCCTAACAAACACTTCTCAAAATTCAGTACAGATACATAACAGGCAAGAGGCACAGGTCTGGCTGCTCTGTCTTGGCTCCCTCTACATATGGATGCATTAGCTGGGAAATGTTAGGCAAAAAAAATCATGAGCTTTCTTCCCTGTACTCTCAAGACAGGGTTTCAACATCTCTAATTTAGAAAGAAAAATAATATTATTAAATCTTACAGATTGGAAAGGTATGATGAATTTGAGCCTCTTCATAATGTCTGTCACCTGATGAACTTGGCATTATATAGCTATTTTTGCAGATTAACTGGAATAGAACAAATTTCCCAGATTTTTGTTCATCTAACATACCCCAAAAATACAAGTGGAAGAAAGACCACTGTGAAATATATGTTGTCTATAAGGCTTTGTGTATAATATCTACTTACTTATCCCTGTTAATAAAAACAGCAGGAGGAAGCAGTCTGGAAATTTCAACAGAGGCATTTGAAAGAGTTACCACTGAGGGGGTCCTTAATCTTATATGGTCTCCTTCCCTCCTCTCCTCACTCATCCTTTTGGATTTGCTTCTACCATTTACGTTTGAAGCTCATTGTTATCTAGTTGTTGTGTTTATAGCCTCTTAGTGACCTGGTCGTGGCAGGAGCCTTTTGGATAGTAGCCCAATCCCATGACAAGAATTAAATTGATTTGCAGGAGTCAACATTCCTTACTGCACCAGTGAACACAGCCAGACTGTGATGCTGGTACATCCGCAGTTTCTCCAAACCATGAAGTGATTCTATTTAGAAGTCACTGATGTGGATTTATCAGATTACTGCAAAGAGAAAAACTTCCAAAGAGCTTTGTCTGCTCTCTCTCACTTTCCTTTATTCTGCCAATGCTTTCCTGCCATCTTGGTTTCTTTCCCAGCGTTTGGAATTAGTGAATTAGGTGCTTACATTCCCTTACATCTCTCGTTGAACAACAACAACAAAAAACAAACAAAGAAAAAACCCATCCAAAAAATAAACAACAGGGCACCAACTGTTCCTCTCTCCCTCTTAGTAAGAATCAAGATTCAGTTTGGGGTTTAATCTTACATTTTCCACTTCCCTGAAGACACGGAGGAAGTTCTCCCTTAACACTCCTTTCAGTTCAGTTTCATTCCATCCTCTTCTAAGAAGTTCCTCAATCAAAGAAGGGTATTTAGAGACATCTTCCAATCCCTCGGGGAAACTGTTGGCAAAAGTCACACAAGAACATTCAACATCCATCACTGAAAAAATTTAGAACAATATTTTTAATTAGTCTTTTGCATATATTGACTTTTGGAGTGAGCTCACTTTGGACCCAATTCTTCCTCTGAGAATTCAACTGACAAACAGAAGCAGGACTGGGACACAACAAAAGGTATTTTCTGCACACAGGATCCCATAAACAGAACACAACTGTGTATTCTGGAATGAAGATGCATAGGCATAATATATAAGCATGTATATAATGTATAGGCAAAACAACAGCATGGGAAGATACTAGAACAAAAGGAAAAAAAGAACCCAACAGAAACTCATGTGTGCATTAATCCACTCTTTACATCTGGCCTTGAGAGTAAGAGGAAACAGCTGCATCACAGATGGAGTTGGCGCAATGCACTTGTGAACAAAAGGAAACCTGCAAACTCACGATGAGCAGGGGACTTGCAGGCAATTTTGTAGACTTTGTTGGTTGCAAAGTAGTTTTTCCAAAGGGAATATAATTAGAATAATAATACTGGTTTGAATTCAGCCATTTAGGAAGTGAAAAGCAACTTATTCAGAGCCTTCTACTGAAGAAATTACAATAAGCAAAGTTGATCTATGTCTTGTGCTAATTCTTGTCAAAATAAAAAGAAATAGAAGCTTCAAAACCTGCATTAAACAGCTGTTTAAAATTTTCTTTTCATGAGACTGTGACATTGTTTTGAGATAACTAATATTTTTGTTATTTTTCTGTTCTGTGGGTGTGCGGTGACAAGCATATCTCAAGAAATTTGTACTACCAAGAGATAGGACCTTAACCATGCCATCACCAATTTGATTTATGACCTTTCAGAAAATTCATGCAATAAAATGTGTCCTTTTGTTGCAAACTGTGTTTTTATTTTTAACATTACAGCTTCAGACCTATGGCTAGCTATCATGGGAGCAGACACACTGGATTTGTGATCATATTTTTCAGATGGGAGCCTGACTCTGACTTTCACTCCCAAGCATGTTTGACCCCAGAAGAAGAAAAAAAAAATAAAAAGGAGATGATGAGGAAACCGAAAGATAAAAAGCAAAAAAAAAAAGTTTAGGGTTACATCAGCAAATGCCACCTAATCTGTATTTATTTCCTGTGCTGTAACAACACTAGCCCGAGAGTGAGGAGAGGTTATGCAGGCTGTTCACCATTCTCTGCTTGCTTGAAATACTTCCCAAGCCCCAAAAGCAGGAGCAGTTTCACAGCACCAAAACACTTTTGGCTTTCCCGAAGGATAGTGGAGGAAAAGAGTTTTGCAGCATCTCTGTAGGCTGACCATTTAGCATCCAAAGGCTGAGGCAGCTTTTCTGTCATTTATCTATGGCTTTTGGATAAAAACAACCTCTATTACTGGTTTTTTTAGGCACGAAACACCTTTTAGAACACAGAAATGCAGAGTTCAAGGGCATTATGATCCATTTCCACATTTGTAGCACTGCTTCATGCAGTTCTACAAAGGAACTATTGTCCTCATCTTTCATAAAACTTCGTTTAGTGCTCCTCACAAGAGAACTTGATCCCACTCTTTTAGTCTGCCTTTTTTTCCCCCTTAAATTAATAAAAACCTTCATAATTTAAGGAGGACATGTCAACATATGTACAATTTTACTAACCGTGCCACTCCGTCATAGTCACCACCAATTCCTATTGATTCCGAACCTGCAATTTTCTTCACGTGGTCAAAATGATCTGAAAGAAAATACCAAAGAAAACAACATCTAAGCATCCAGCAAAAGAGAAATATTACAGTTCACACATATTGGAACAAGGCTGTTCACCTTGATTGTGGATCCTCAATCAAATCCTTTTTTAAAACGTCAAAAGATATCCCATCAGGCAGCAATTCAAAATAACAGCTACACTGATGAAATGCATATGAGGAAAGAGACATGATCATCACAGCATATCTGTTCCCAATAAGTAGCCCAATTATACAAATAGAATTTCCATTATCCACTATATACTCACATTTTCTACTCTTAATGACATAGGCTTAAGGTGCTTTCCAGAAAGTAACAATTACTTTGGGATTAATGGTTCTTGGCTCCTTTTGTAAGCGTCATGTCCTGCAGCTACACTCGCCTTGTACCTCTTGTTATTGTTTAATGACTATTAGCACTAAAAATACCTAGAGTTTGGCTAAAGTGTGGAAGGACTAAACATGCATTTTTTAATAACCTCAAAAACTATGCACACACCAGGAAATTCATAGAATTTGTATGAATTCATTGAACCAACAAAAACTACATTGACATCAAACCTGCAAGGGTAGAAATATTAACAACGTTTCTGCCACAGGCCAGTACATCTGCATTGAAAGTCACCATGATAATTCCCTTGTTCTTTTTCTGAAAGATATGAAGAGACAGGTGATGAGTGAACACTCATGTGCCCTGCAAACCTCATGGGCATCCTATATAGAACCTTCTATGTCCATCCATAATTGAGCACCGCAACACTCTAAGTCAAAGCTCAGATGGCAACACAAGGCTTTGCCTCCCTGTCTCTTCCCTTGGGTTCATTATACTCTCATGTAGACTGAATCAGCAGAAATGCAGTGCCTCCATCAAACAAACTCAATCAGAATTTCAAAGTATTTGCAAACACTTAATTTTTGTAGTCAAAGACTAAAGACAACCCAAAGAAAATCTCTCAGAAGCAAATATGTAACCTGCTGCTCAGGAATCTGCTTCTAAATCAAATTCAGAGGTGAGAAGGTGAAAAGTAAACACTATGACTTGAATGCACAAGTTTGCCTCAGCCTAGCCAAACATTGCCATTAAACCAAAAACGAAAATCCCCAAGAAGCAAGACCAACAAATACCTTCCATCAAAAAATGACAAAACAAAACCAAGATCGATATTGCTCACCAGTTCCTGGAGGATATCATCAGGGACATTTCTTGAGTGATTACAAACAGAAAATGCTGATGAATGGCTGAAAATTACTGGTGCTTTTGAGATATTCAGTACAGCTTTTGCTGTGGAATATGAAGTATGAGATAAATCTATCAGCATACCAAGGCGATTCATCTCCTTTACCACTTCCTAAAACAGATGTACAGGAAAACAGTGTCAGTATAAAGTTTCCTTAAAGGAAACTGTTTAGCAGATATCTGTAAACAGATTAACTCTGCAGCTGTCAGCTAGTCCTAAGCATGCTATGCCAGTATTGTTTTCTCTATACCTATTACTTTAACAGTAATTTATTCACTCACAAGTAGCTAGTAGACCACCACACGCTCAAAACTTAGAAAACTTAGTCAATCTAAAATAAGTAATTTGAACTGTTATTCACATCCCACTGATTCTACATATGAATTCATACATCTGATCTGAATTAAAACAATTGTTCTAATTAAATCTAGTGCTTCTTTTACCCTAAAGAACATTGCAGGGAATTTGGTTTGACTGAGCCCCAATCACCTCCTAACTATCAAGAACTTCCAGTAATTAATTTTTAATGACAAAGTTGCTCTTGAAAAGATAAGGCCAGAAGTTGTTAGTTGCATGACAGATTGCCCAGGTTAGCATTAGAAAGAGATTCTTACTTGGCCAAATGGAGTCAGACCAATAACATTAGGATAAAAGTTGTGTATTCCTTTAGATGATGATTCAGACCTTAAAAAGGGGAGTGAGGGAGGAGAAACATCATATTATTATGGAGACTACAGTGTCAGCAACTGAAACCTCTTATGCTATGCACAATAAAAATGTTTACCATATCACATAGCCAAATGTGGGGATAATGAGCTACATATTAAGTATCTTGTTTGGGCAGTGCTTTTTTTGTTCATAACTGTTTTCAGGTTCATGAATGTTGATGTTTGTGAAGCAATGCAGGATAAGCAGAGAGGTGACTGTCAGAAGTTTTCTGATTAAACAACCTTCTATGAGAGAACAAAGAGACACTGCCATGTCAGTTACCCACCAGCCTACTTGTCAGTCCTCTGTACACAATTCCCCTGTCTCAGTCAGTACAAGAAGGTATTTTGTCAATACAGCAAAGAGTAGGTGCTAATATTCTGATATAGGAACTAAATCCGTCTCTGTAGCGCCATATGGGACCTGCGCTTTTGAGGTGGCCAGAGAGGGCAGTGTCGAAGGCTGCTGACAGCTGAGTTCTTATATAGCATTTACTCTCTTTTATCTACATCATATGCATTTTTAGTACTTCTCTTTTTGTCTATATTGCCCTATGTAACTTTCCTAATATAGTAAAGGAATAGCAAATTTACCATCTTTGTGTTGTTAACAAGTTTAGAAGTCATCATTACAAGTCCTACATAACAGATGTAGTCTCCCACTTGACACATGGCAAATGATTTACCCCCCAGACCTATCACCCTTGACTTGGTTCAGAGTCTTTCACAGGTTAACTCTGTGTCTGAATCCATATTTCTCCCATCACAGAGCTGCCACTTCTTTGCATTAGACAGGCACACCAAAAAATGCACATTAATTACCAAGGCGTATTGCAGGAATGTGTTAAAGTCATGTAACGAACACCCAAGTCATAATACATCCTCAGCGTTGCCAAACTGCTGTCAATGGAGTGGCCACCTTCTATTCCAATCAAACACGCAATCCTTCTACTTTCAGAGATACCTGGAAACAACAAAGGGAGATAATTCCAAAGTAATATAATGACAGATAAGAAGCCAGCACTACTGAGCAACAATTGTTTTTGGAAATTGCAAGCAATGATATTGACATTTTCATCGAATAGGAGCTTATAGCAGTACATGTTTATCGGCAAATATTCTCACTACTGCAGTGGACCTGGATGGTGCACAGAGTCTGTTGCTGCAGCTCAGTGGAAAAGTTGGGGTAAAGTTACTCTTTAAAGCAGGATAACTTGCCTGCTTGCAGCTCTCTGTCTTTTATACATACCTCCTGCAATCACGTTTTTACGAATTCTTTTACAAGAAAGAGCATCACCTTGGGAAGTTGTCACAAGTTCCAGCTCTTCATAGCTGTTACACATCCTCTTGACAACATCAATTTGCTCTAAAGTCAGACGCACAGCATCCTTGTTCTGAGCGCTGCAAAGAACATACACTGACCAAAACTGAAAGAGACATTGACAAGTAAACTAGATAATTTGTGCTTTGACTTGGAAACTTCCATTTGCTAATAGTTCACAAGCACAGACCAAAATAACTTCTTACAGTTTGCAAGGGAGTTGCCACTATAGTTTTCCCCCAAAAGACGACTTATGATGCAAGACAATAGCATCTACTTCAGACATGATTAAGACCTCCTAACATACCCAGCTACTGCACAGTACGTGCAGGAAAGCAGATGTAAGCTTCCTTTAATTTATATATCACAAAACAAATACTGTTGTTTTGACTAAGGGTACCTGAATTATAAAATACAAACTTTTGAAAAAAAAAAAGGTTATGAAACAGTGTCAGGGGCTTTTTGGTTTTATTGTATTTTTCTTTTTCAATATAAAGAGCTAAAACTAAGGCCAGGAGTACTTGTATGATTGGGAAGGAGGCAAATGTAAAAATTTGGTCTCAGACTCACAACCATGGCAGTACTTACCTGAGCTCCCACGTAACCAGCCTGAAGTTTCACAAAGTTTGTGTGGGTCTTGTTGAGTTCTCTTAAATTGACTCTACTGATTCTATTTTGGTAAAGTATTCTCAGTTGCAGTACAAAGTCATTGTGGCTAGAATTGAAAACAAATTGGGCTTGTGATAGAAATAAGATGTCCCCTTTCTAAGTCAAATGTAATTTCTTCCACTTCCCTTAGACTCTTAATTGCCAATAATCCTTACAGCAATAGATGCTTAAAAGACTCCCTTCTTTTCTGCTTCCCACCCCAATCCCACCAGTGAGCAGGCTGAGGGTGTACCTTACGTTGGGAGGGGACACACCTGAGAAAGCTGACCCCAGTTGGCCAAAAGGATATTCCAGACCGTACCAGTTATGCTCAGCATATAAAGTTGGGGAGAAGAAGAAGGAAGGGGGGGGACATTCAGAGTGATGGTGTTTGTCATCCCACAAAACCATTAAGCTTGATGGAGCCCTGCTTCCTGGGGATGGCTGAACACCTTAGTCATGGGAAGTAGTGAATTAATTCCTTGTTTTGCTTTGCTTGTGCGTGGCCTTTGCTTTCTGTATGAAACTGTCTTTAGCTGAACCCATAAGTTTTACCCCTTTTCTGATCCTCTCCCTCAGAGTGGCAAGTGAGCAAGTGGCTTTATGGGGCTTAGTTGCCAGCTGGGGTTAAACCATGACACCTGACCAGAAAATTACAAAGGTATTTAGAATAACCCAATCCTATAATAAGTACCCTCTGAAACAAAATTCCTTCCCGATACATCATTGCAACAGAAGCTAAGTGCTATTTGCTGGTAACAGCCTGTCTCTACTGATCCAAAAACACTTCAACATTTCCTCCTCACTTGTCAGGATTCACAAAGAGAGTTTAGTTGAACATATTTTATATACCCATCAATTAAACGTGCATCTTGCATCAGCTCAATAGCTCTCTCTCTCATTGATTTCTCATAACTTAATGGCACAGTATCAAAAAAGATCATCAACAGCCACATGAACTTTGTTGTATTTCTCTTCATTTCCATTTTCCAGTTTGCTAAAGCAAAGAGATACCACAATTATTCGCTGATGACAATGAAACAGCAAAATTTCCAGTCTGTGGAGGCTGGAGAGCCGAAATGCCTCTCCTTCTGGTAAGGCTGATGTGAATTCTACAGTAGGAAAGAAAAAAAATAAAGAAATAATAGTAAACAGAAGAGAAGATAGCATTGGAAACTGTGAAATCACTGCCTTCTCCCAAAGATTTTAAGATCTCTGGCTATTGTGCTTTTGTACATATAACCACTCCTTAAACTCCGCTGCTACCTCCAGCTTACTGCTGAAGAGAACCAACTCCTCAGTCAGAGCTGGCAGGGTGAGCTTGACACACCCTGGACTTGGACCTCCCAAAAAGCCAGAAATTACTGCTTCCAAGTAAACTGTCTTCTTAAAACAAACAGCCCATCAGAGTATTTTCAGAGGAAATCTATTAAAATCTAACACTTTCCCAAACCTATATGTCCTCAAGGACAATACATGCCAAACTTGAAAGGGTCACTTTATCTCCATGAGGAAGTGGGTGTGACAACAACTTCAAGAGTAATCAGAGCATCTCCTGCACTTTTATCCAGTACTCAAACACTTGGACAACAGTCTTTCACGTGTGAGTAAAAAAGCATTTTTTCCGAACAGATTAGAAATAACTCTTGTTCTCTGTAAAGTAAATGTAAGATTTTCCAGGAGGTGAAAATACCTTTGCAAATAAAGACTGGGTCCACCCCCACTCACTCAGAGTTATTGGCAGCATTTGCTATAAAGCTGAGAAGCACTTGCCTTCTTCATTCATGGGAGTGACATCCTAATTTGAGGCAAATGCCCTCAGGGAGAACAGAGCTATTATGAAGCAGGATAGCCATATCTGCCATATGAGGATGCTATGAGGGCGGTTTGGTCTTGTAAAATAGACAGATTTTAAAGGAAAATTTCACAGTAAAAAAAAAAAAAAAAAAAAAAACACACTTTTTCTGCATCCTTCTGTCATTTAACATCTTCAAAACTATGGGCAAGCTGCCTGGCCCCTCCTCTCCTTTCAAGCAGGCAGGCCAGACCTCAGTGCAGAAGGTTCAGTAAACAGCTGCTATATAAGTGGAGCAAATCTCAGTTAGGAATGGCATTCCTTTCATCCCATTTGAAGTCCTTATTTTCCATCTTATTTTGTATTAAAATACTTAACAGCCATTACGTTAATACTCAAATTTGTTGAATTATTGTGCCAAATCAAATATACAAAGTGCACTAAAATAGAGCTCACTGCTCAAGATAGTAATGTATCCTGACGAATGAAGAAGTTTCATCCCCTCCACAGTCCAGTTATGCTGATATCTTGTAGATAATCCTAGTGTAGCTCTGAATTACCTACTTCAGAACATGGCAGCAGCTTAGTTGCAACAGCACAGAGAACGCCAAGTGACCAGAACCCTAGGTAAAACCTTCTTGCTAACCATGGGTAAAAGCATGGATTCTCCCTATTTCCTGAAGTAATAATTAAATATAATTAGTAAAACATAAATATTAATCATACTTTTAGGAGCAGAACACATGCATCATACTATGAAGCATATTTTTGAGGAAATACACTGATATATATACATATTATATATATACACTTTGAAATTCACTTTGTCATCAGGATAGTCTTTCAAACCTTTCTCAGTTTTTGCTTGAAATTCCTTCTGCCATCACCAGCTCTAAATCATCATTCCTGACATGTCAGGTTTATCTGTTCCCTTGCTTGGAAACCACTTTAGTACTGTATTACAAATCATGGTTTCCAACCTGCTATTCCTTCACTATCTATGCAAAGAATGTAATGAAGTGCTATCAAACAATGAGAAAACATGATGCTGTTAAACTTAATGCTTCAAACAGCAATAAAAGTAAATAAATACAGTAATGTTTGGAAGGCATTTCAGAATCTCCTGGGAAGAGAAAAGAACAAGCAGGATAGCTTGTCCCAAACTGCCTGGGGAAAAGGAATGCCCTAGAGGTAGTTACAGTATTTCCATACAAAGAAAAAATGCGTTGCCCACATTTTCCAAATTAAAAGAGAGCACTTTGTTTCATTCCAGTCATGCCACGCAAAGGAAAGATTTTGAGAAAGAGCGATTACTAGAAACACAACCGTCCTCAAAATCCTTCCTCAGATAGAAGCTGTAGGAATAGGTGCACTTTCAGAAAAACTTGTAACAGGAAGGTCGTACTCGTTTCACTTAGGAAGCCTTTTTTCTTTTTCCCTTCCGTATTTCAGAGAAAGTTGCAGGGAGAGCTGTGAGTGAGACCTCTCTCTCTGGAATACCGAAGAGAGAACGTTCCTTCGCAGACATTCGCAGGGCCTCCTCAAGCCAGAGGGCGGGGGAGGAGAGAGAGAAGATAAAAGTGCTGAAAGAGCGCCGGAACTTGCCTTTCCCCGGAGGCCCGGTGCTGTCTCGGGGCACTGTGAGGTTTTTGTAAGTTTTTAGTGTCCTTGCCTCGGGAATAAACCTTTTTTGAATCCCTTCCACTGCCTTGGCATTTTTGGTGGAAAGTATCCTTGTATCTTTACTTTACAGGAGTACAGTCTTGGAAGTTTTTCTTCTTTAAATATGCATCAGAAATATGCATGCATTGTGAGGCCCAAAAACTTTATTGGAACAGGACTTCTACAAAACTGTAAAGATTAGAGAACAATCAGAAGTCGTTTCTTTTCTGCTTTGTGGCAACTATAGAGATTTCCCTCAAATGCCAAAGCACAAATACAGACTTACCCTTTTACCACAAATGCAGACTTTGTTACCACAGTGGAAAAAAAAAAAAAAAAAAAAAAAAGACACCTATGTCTAATCTAGAAAAAGTTACATTTGTTTCTGGCAGCTCAGCATGCAAAATGTTAAAAAGAAAAGGTAAAAAAACTTCCCAAGCAACAGAATTCTGACACCTTAGCACGACATATGTAAATTAGTTTTTCTAGGCATGTTTTGGTTTCCAATTCCTCAAACCAAAATGCTGTTCAGATCTGCAATCTGAGTCTCCAGAACTCAGCCAAATCCCAACAAAACAACTCCAAAGGGAAAACTAGGATTTTACACCTTATTATCTGCTACTGGCCTTGCACAGGATAACTGCTATTTCAGAAATCCACATAATTTGTCAGTTCAAAATTCTTAATGAGAAAGTAGCTAATTTTGTTCACATAATAAGACTGTTCTGATACTATAAAAACTGCTACACATTGTAGATTTTGTTTCAAATATTTACTGTTTTTCAATCTGTATGAACTCCATAGCAATTTTCAGGAAGATTTTTAAGCAGGAACTGTACCTACATGTTCTTCTAGTGGTTTGGCTACTAAAAGAAATTATACATTACCAAATCTCCATTCTGTCTAAATTACAAAAACACAAGCACTACACAAAAATAAGAACACAGTATATTAGCACTCCTGTTAAAATACAAAACCCGCACAGCTTTTTTCCATCTTGACTGAGCAGAGTTGCAAAGTGGAAGTTAGCATTACATTTATAGCTTTTTGTTTGTTTGTTTATCTAAAGGCTCCCTGGAGCAGTTTACCGTCTTAGGATAATGCAGCCGAGTCGAACTCCACATTCCACTGTGTTGGATCCAGTTGTTAAAGCTTGGCACCAAGTCTGCTTGGCATCAGAGCAGCAAGGAAGAAACGTCCTCTGTTTCTTTAGTTCACCTCACACCACAGGCTTCACACACAACAGGCGTTTGGAAATTGCCCCCTCAGAGATGCAAGGTCTGTGAACGAGCTTGCAGCTCAGCTCCACCCACGTGAGAACCCACAAGCCTCGTGCTGTGCCGTTAGAAACCAGGCATTTCCTCCCTCTTGTAACAGCGTGACTGTGCAGTCCCTAGTATATCTGTTCACTAGCATATGAGGCATTTAAAATTACTCTGTTTATATTGTTCAGAAATAGGTGCCTCTCGTCACAGAGTAATTAAGGTTGGAAGCGATTTCTGGGGGCATGTCATCTAGTTCAGCCACCTGATCCCAAGTAAGGTAACTTCACAATTAGATCAGGTTGCTCAGGCCTTCATCCAATGGAAGCTTTGATGTCTTCAAGTAAAGAGATTATACAAACTTTCCAGGTCCCTGTTCAAGTGCTTGCTCCTTCATTTTGACTACACCTAAGCCAAAAACATCTACCTCTTGCTACCTATACCTGCTGTATTTTAATCAGGACTTACAGTGCCATTATATGATATTTATAAAGGTCAAAATGTTCACAAGGTACAGGTGACCTTTTAAAAGATATTTATGTCTCTGAACTTAATGGGAATTTCCACTCCCTTTGTGGGAGCTGAAAGTTTGTAAACAAAGAAGTATGTGCAAAACCATGATACTAAAGTTTCAGAAGAAGTAAGGTTTGCTTATCGTAATTATTATTTCACTTCATATTTTGTACAGAAAACCAAAAGGGTATTATGCTTTTGTTTATGATTTGATTGCAGAGAAATGACCAAATCTCATGAGCAAAACTCCCACAGACCGGTTGCGCAAGTCATGTCTTAACTGGAACATACATTCATCACCGAGCCTCTAGTTCCCACAAATCAGAAAACTTAAACAGAAACCTCCACATCACTGGGAATTCTGCTGAATTTTGCTAATGTGGTGAACTTCACTTATAAACATTTATCATTCACTCCAGTGGACTGAAGAACCCTGAGCAATACAAATGAAGTGTCAGGAGAAAAGATAAATATTTAATTTAAAGCAGCAATTAACAGGTTCAGATTAATTAACCATTTGTGGTCTAGTTCATGTTTTATTGTTACTTTTAAACTTTTCAGATTCTCATCCTTATCTTCCAAAGTAAGTAAATATCACATAACCATCATTGCTTGCAATTTGTTTTTCCCATTTTCTGAATTTTCTCTCCTCACAAAGTCAAGTTTAATCTCTGATCTGATTTTTGCCTGAAACTCTGTGTTTCTGCATGCCTCTAGAAAAACTAAGCTCACCAACTCCTTTTTCAAGAACAGTTTTTGCTGAGCCACTAAGCTCCTTGGGCTTTTAACAGCTCACCTCTTTGCAGATTCAGAAGTTAACTGATTTTTAAAGCTGCTAAAAGCCAAATTCTCCTTTTGGCCCATAGTAATATTTCTTCTATAATTTTCTTCCAATAGGCCTGGATGAGCATTAGCAGGTGTTTGTGTATAATAATTCTTATAATGTGGCATTTGTGATGAACATCCTTCCTGCAGAGTCCATCCGGCAGGACTGGTCTCTTAGTAAGTATTCAAAGATCTATCTTCATTGTCCAGAATGTTGTTACACAGCTGTCTCTCCCTGATAATAGCTATCACTATTTATATCATGTTATATCCACAATTTTGGAGCAAGCTGAGAAGCTATAAAATAACTGCAGCACTTACACAGATACCAGCTGCTGTCAGGACACAGAGGGATAACATTATGTTTTGGAACTATTTTTCACATTAGATAGGCTTGTTCAAGCCCAGAGCAGCTTCATCAGTTTCAATACTTACACTTCCAAACCACTGGTGTTTTTACAACCAGCACAGATTAATTTATAGATTACTACAGCTGGGAAAGTAGGAATTTGCAAATGTAGATGCCTACTGTGACAGTCATTTTAAACTGCAATTTGGTTTCCCAAAAAAATCCTAATATTCTACCAACTCCTTACTTCATCTACACTACATAATAGCGCTCCAGCTTTTGGTATGGATATAGGTTTGTGTGCAAATCAGCTTTAAAATCACATGCAGTGTAACTGCTTAGGGACAAGCCACATTAACACAGTCTTGAAAGTTTTGCTTATCAAGTATTCAAACTTGGTGTTTTACTTCTTTGTAAAGATTGCAATTTCCAAGGCTCTCAGTTTGGCATTTCTCGGTATGGCTATCAGTGTTTCAATTAGAAACTGTTACAATAGGTTAGGAAGAGGAACCAGAGGAATCCCATGTTCCAGGATTTCTGTTTTCATAAAAATCGCAATACAGGCAGTCTTAAATATTGCAAATTGAAATCCATCTGTTTCTTCTAGTCAGTATTAGTTTCAGATCCTAAAATGAAGTCAGTTCACACTTGGAGTGGGTGGTGATGGGAGGTTCTTTGGTAGTTTTAATCTGTTTAAATCAGCATGTTTGCAACATATTTCTCAGATAAGATCTTGTGATAAATATTAATCTAAGCTTGGGAAATCAAGAGGTTAAGAACCAACTCAGTAAAAAACCTCTTTTTCCCATGTTGCTCTGCCTTGTGGATGCCTGAAGCTGCCACAGTTTCACGACTTAATTTGACCAGCATCCTGAAGACTGTTCAGGGGATGCCATATACTCTCAGGATATATAAGTACAGAACCACACCAGTTGGCACCTATTACCAAATGCAAAAGAAACAGGAAGTACAAAGATAAGGTTCTCTTCACAGAGAAAAGGCTCCTTATGAAGCACATCAAGATTCAACCAAAGCTCCTAAGAAGGAAGCTAAAGTTGAACGTTTCCTAAAGCTGAAAGCAAATAGCCCATAATGAATGCAGATATCTTTCAGGATGAACACAAATGAATACTATTCTGCCACCCATTAGTATCTCTTGGCAACAACTTTTTATAAAAATACCAACGTTGTTGTGTGTTCTTCTCACTCAATACTCTGACAGAACTAATTTCTGTACTTCCTTGGAAAGAAAGATGGAGAAAGAAGCTGCAGGGGGGAAAAAAAAAAAAGAAAGCTGCAATAAGCTTATCTAGTAATCTAAACTATGCTAATTTTAAAATAATAGTAATATTTACAATTGATAATGCCCAAAGAGTGAGGCAAACCAAACAAAATGTTTGTTTAGCTATATGTTTGTTCTACAAAGGAATCAGGTATCAAGTTCAACTCCGATTCAAGAAAGGTAAAAGTTTTTGCCACAATGTGGCAGGAGATTCCCAATTAAAATAATATTTAATCTGTAATTTGACAGATTGCTAATTGGCAGGACTAGAGACTCGCTGAGAACCAGGATGCAAAACTAGCTTGCTTCAGATGGGCTGGCTTTTTTATTTGGAGATTGTTCCTCCACCCAAGAAAATAAAAACAAAAATCTTTTTTAAAGAGCAATAGAAAAGGTCACAGAAGACTTGTGGACAGCAGAAGTTGTTTCCTACTTAGTTGGAAAATTTCAACCTAAAAAGGCTTCCAGAAACTTTACCAGAAAAAAGGTACTTTCCCCACTCGGGACTGATTTCAATGTAGGCACTCTTTCCTGTTTAAAATCAAAATTCTCAGAGCTCTGTTTCTGCCACTTCCCACTTCAATTTTTCAGGAAGAGTAAGTCCATTTAACGTAGTAGCTGCCCTTGTGACATTAGGTATCCACAGCCATGCAGGGCAGTAATCTCCACGGGATGCCATGTTTCCTGTTTAGCATGGATTTCTGAGAAGAGCCAATCCATTTGGTATCAGTGAGAAAACCTCAAGCAAGTCTACTTAGTCAGCTTCATTTTTGTTATCTAATAACGGGTTGATATTTTTTATTAGTGTTTCAAAGGCTTGGCTTTGAGATTTGAGGAGATGCCTAAAAGTCATCAGCATCGCCTGATCTGCAGATGACATCCAGGTAATCCTATAGCAAGGCTTGAGTCCTTATTCATTCCTTTGCCTCTTTCACTGGAGCTCATGTTCAAAATATAGCAGCTACACTGGTTTTGGAGATGTTTTACCCTGTGCTCACAGCTGACAGCTCTACAGGTGAAAGTGTAAGTCTAGACCTAATCTAGATCTTTTGGTGACCAGTGTTCATGAATGCAGCATTGCAAATTACACTTCTGTGCCTTGGCCAATGTATTTTTTGTTTGTTTGTTTATTTGTGGGGGTTTTTTCACTTTTGTTTACTCTCAGAATTATTCCGAGGAACTGGAACATCACAAAGCTCAGGAAGGACCAAAACATTTCATCCAGTGCAGTCACTCATACTGTGCTATCAGCAGCAAGAAGGTGCAGCCACATTATAGTGGTCACTGGGGCTTAAGTCTGTCTCCAGAGAATGCTTCACATAACAGCCAGACTATGGTAGCAGAGGATGGTATCTTCTGGATTAAGAAAAGCAATTAACATAATATAGGTGTATGAAAAAAGTTTCAAGTGTTCTGTCTGCCACTGTCTTTAAACTTTTTTCCTGCTGCTATGCGAAGGTGGGTGAGAGAGATGAGAATAGTGTTTAAATGGAGGGAACAATCCCAGACTCTTGGTGTCTTGTAAGTGTAAACTCATGTTACCCAGCCAAATAGCAGATCCAACCTTTTCCATATTCTCTCCTGGTATACAATAGTTTCCTGAGGCAGGGAAAGGGAAGGAAAGCAGAATGAAATTCCACCTGTTCACAAAAGGGATTACAAATATTAAGATGACACCCAGCCTGACATATCACCTTGACTTGCCTCCTTCCTCTCTCTCTTTTTTTTTTTTTTTTTTCTGCAATGTTTCCTTGCAACCTATTTTCCCCCACAGTTATCTTCAATAGCCTTAAGGTTCCTCAGCCTCCAAATATCAGGGAATATTGTTTCCTCTCTTACATGTAATGTAGTTAGCATTACTGTTGCAGTCTTTGTATTGTTTGAAGTTTTATCGGCACTATCTCCACTGCCTATAGTTATTTGCTTGATCCGAAACCAGTCAATCAATGTTTTCCAGGGAGGGTTAGTTTTTACCATCCTTTTCATATTATCACATTTTGCCCCCCTGGCAATCATCACTGTTGCCTGTGTTATGCTGCCTTCCCTCCTGAGAGAGGAAAGCAAACTCACTCAGTCCACAGACTCACTTGATTACTGTGACCATTTAATATATGATCTTGTCTTTTCCAGACAGCGCAGACAGTGCTTCTCATGATTGCTGTGTTCCTGATCCCCTGGCTGCCACATCATATCATCACCATGTGGGCAGAGTTTGGGCAGTTTCCTCTGAACAACATCTCCCTCACCTTCCACATTATCTCTCACTGCTTGGCCTATGGGAACTCTTGCATCAACCCCACGATTTATGCTTTCCTCTCAGAAAATTTCCACAAGGCCTGCCGGCAAGTCTTCACCTGCAGGTTCTTCCTGCCGCCAGTTCCTGCTGAGAAGCTGGCCAGAATACACATGGAGAACTTCTCTACCACACACTCCACCACTAACATGTAAATCGGGCTCACAAAATGTTTCAGGAGGAAGAGGAGGGAAGAGGGAGCCATATGGGGAGAACATGTATACAAGTGCACTCCAGGGAGCTGTGGAATCTGCAAAAATGTGGACTTTGTCAGATTACTGGAGTAGTAGGAGGCATTTTTTCCCTCTGGCTGTGATGACACTTGACAGAGGTTGTCCTAGGGTATCTTGCTAGGCCACATGCAACAGGAGTATAGAGACAGAGACAGAACTCATACGCAGTTGTAACACCCACAGTCTAAAATAAGAGTTACGCCGAAGGTAGAAGATGTAGTGACAAGAAGAGACTAGTCAATTATGTCTGTAGACAGTCATGAAGATGTGAATAATGAGTTACAACATTCAGAGAGCAGTTTGGGGAAAGCTACATACACATTTAGCTCACTAGCTGTGATAGGGTCTCTAAAACTCCTTCGCTACATTATTTACCTATTACGCAGTAAAACCTTCCACATGACATGTCAGTGATGTGGCTCTCTGCATTCAGTGGCTCTGTATAAGCTTATATAACACAGGGTCTGAATGTCTGTGTACTCCTGTGTGTAATTACTGGTATTTAATCACTGGCTCCAGCAACTGTCTCTTGGTGAGCAACAGTAGGAAAGTGGCATTTCTCAATATATGCTTAAAAGAACTCTGGTTTTGTTTGAAAGTAATGTTTACAAAAGGTTTTTGGTAAATATAGCATAGTCTGAGTCTATCTACCCATGGATTTTTACTTTAGCATATGTATGTCTAAAGATTTGTGATTTGTCTTTTTTGTTGGTTTTGGTTTTGTTTTTTCTTTTTTCGACAAACTGTTGTGATCATCAGTGCCCTAGCAACAGTTTAGGGCATTTGTACCAAGGTCAAAGTTACTGTTTGTAAATATATAAAGTGCATATTACTTCAAAATTAGGAAGCATATGGCTGAAAGAACTTTATTATTTCATTGTGTTGTCTAATTTGGTAGTTCTGTATGCTGCAATCTAGACTGACCCGTTCATAGATTGCAAAAAGGTCTGTTACAGAAGTTAAATGACTAATTATGCATCTAAAAACATAACAGAAATATCCAAATATAACCTAGTAGAACATCTCCAGTATCTTTTCATCAGCCATCAGAACACATACAAATAATTTTTGTAACATGTTTCTTGAATACAGTTTTTCAGCAGCTCAGGGGACCTAATGCATATTGCAAATGGAGATAGGATCTTCTGTAAAAAAATAATACTGGATTGTCCCCAGAGATTTATCCTACTCCTATACGTGAACAGTAAGCTTCAGCGTGTGGACACTAAAATTGCCTGATTTGTAGTTAACAGAACTACAGATGAGAGGCAAGTAGTGTTTGCAATGAATAGGTCCAAAATGTAAAGGTTTCCAGACTCCAAATGGATCACTCTTTCACCGTATTTCTAAAAATCGGAAGTTACTGTATTAATAATTTTACTGATTTGTAACTTCCTCTGAGAGCCCCTTAACTGTGCAAAACGAGCAGAGAACTTGTGTACAATAGGAAAAGGTCCTGTAGCCTGATCCTTAGGTGATTACCTGTGCAAGTTTTCTTTTTGTTTAGCTCTTAGTATACTATCTCCAGTCCATTATTTCCTCAGAAACCAATTATTTAGGTACTATGCTTGATGATCCTTTTATTTACCAGGCTTGTTATTTCTACAATCTGAGACTTAGCACAGGCTAAAGTTGATAGCACGGGAAAAACAGCCACAAAAAAAAAAAAGGGCTGTGATACAACACTGTGACAGAAATCAGAGCTAAAATCCTCTTTTGAGTGATTTTTTACCATGGATACAAACTAGCAAGTAGATATGAAATAACTTCAGTCTCACTTCAATCCTCTTGGTTGAAAGCAAAATAGAACAATGGCACAACACTCAAAAGGAATCCTGCACTCACTGTGTTACTTGTGAGTCACTGGAACTTGAATCTATGCACTCCTTTAAGAGAAGACATTTTGGTTTGTTGGGGTTAGGGGGTTTTTGTTTGGAATTTTTTTTTTTCTGTCAGTTCAGACACTAGACATGTCACTATAGCATGCAGAAAAAATAAGGAGGAAACACTTAAGGGCTTTTAAAATTTTATTTAATATAACATAATAGAGCAAGATCCCCTTTCTCAGTGAAAGGCAACCATAAAATGGCTAATTAAGGCCTTGAAAGAGCCTCAAGCTTTAATGTGCCTTCTCATTCCCCCTGAACTTTAAAAGCATCTGGTCTAGAATTCTCTGAACAAACTGCTATGCCACAAGAAAATCAAACATCATTTGTCCTTTAGTCTTTCTATGTGTATCTCTAACAGGTCAAATTTATATCAATTTTTAATTTTTTTTCCTGCCACAGTAGTAATTTTTAAGTTTTTTTAAACTGCTAGTGGTGGGCAGCAATGAAATGTAGCAGAGCTGCGTATCATACAGGCATACTTTCATTCTGATTTGGATTTAAGTTATAAGTCTCAACAAAATCAAATCAATTGATGAGGTCATTCTTCAGTCTTCTCCAAAAGCATTCTGGAACTCACTAGCTTCCTTTTGCAAAGCCACGAATTGTGATGGATGTGGAAATGACTACTGCAGCTTCCAGAACAGCGCACAAAGGTAACCTGAACACCTGGTTCTGAAACTCAATTCTCAATTTTTCAGTCTACTTTACACACAGCAGCTCATTCACTCTGCCTTAAGGACTTCAAGGTGAGTCCCTACAAGGCCACCTAGTACTGCCTGGCAACTTGAATCAACCTCCTTTAGGCGAGGGTTTATTAATGGAGGAGTCCATTCCCGGGAGGCCTGTCCTTTTCCGGGCTGCAGTCTCTATTTTCCGTACCAAGTCCACATCCCACCGATGGGTGACAAAACTAACCACAACTCCAAGTGCCTTGCTTCCAACCCGTCCAACTCTCCCCACACGGTGCAGATAGTCCTGCAGGGTGTCTGGGAAGTCATAGTTGACCACAAGCTGCACACTGCTGGTGTCCAGACCCCTCGAGGCAAGGTCAGTGCAGACGAGGACAGACACATCACCCTTCTGGAAAGAGGCAAAGATGCCAGCTCTAGCAGCCGCTGACATCTGTCCCTGCAGCCTCAGGTGCTTGATTCTGTGGTCATCCAGGACATAGCCCAGCCAGTTCACAGTGCTGGCACTGTTGCAGAAGATGAGAACAGCCCCGCCAGATGATGGGTGCTCCTTTAACAGCTGCAGCAGCTCGGGCAGCTTGTCCTGGCCTTTGAGGCGGATGAACTTCTGCTGGACGTGAGGCGGCAGGCGGTGCAGGCTCTGGGTGGTGAGGGTGACAAACCGGCCCACGTCTATGAACTTCGCCAGCGTCTCCCTGAGCCCCGCGGGAAAGGTGGCTCCGACCACCACCACTTGGGTCCTCTCCTCCCCCGGTCCGGCCGGCCCGGGGGCTCCAGCGGCCAGCGGCGCGTGTGCCAGGACCTCCTCCAGCAGCTCCGTGAACGAGTCGTCCATCAGCGTGTCCACCTCGTCCAGCACCATCCAGCGCAGCCTCGCCAGGGCCAGGAAGCGCCGGCGCAGCGCCTCCCGCAGCGCCCCGGGGGTGCCGAGGAGCACGGCGGGGCCCGGCGGCGGCGCCCGCAGCTGCCTGCGCAGCCCTCCCGCCGCCCCTCCGCCCGTGAGACCGCGCACCGCCAGGCCTGCGGGCGCGCACAGCGCGGCCGCCACCGCACCCACCTGCGCCGCCAGCTCCCGCGACGGCACCACCACCAGCCCGCGGGGCGCCGCCGGCTCTGCCGGCGCCGCCGGCCCCTCAGGGCGGCCGAGCAGTCCGTCCAGCAGCGGCAGCAGGTACGCGAGGGTCTTCCCGCTGCCGGTCTCGGCGGCGCACAGGGCGCTGCGGCCGCGGCGCAGCGCGGGAATGGCGAGGCGCTGCACGGCCGTGGGGCGGCCGATGGAGAGCCGCTCCAGCCCGGCCAGCAGCGCCGGCTGCAACCCCAGATCGGCGAATG